CCCCCCCCTCTTCTCTCTCGCCCCACCGTACACTACCAAGCAAAACTACCAAACAACGATCTTATTACTAGGCTGCCTGAAGAAAATCCCTCAACAAAATTGCAATACCCAGGTCTTTCCAGATATCAACYTACACAGGGTTCCCGCGATGACAGTTATTAATTTTACCACCTTGTTTATTATAGCGCATTTTTTATTCCATCACAGGTTGACATTGGTCATGGTGGGCGTCCTAAAGGGTACTACGTCCAACAACCAGGTGGTTTATTCCCTGCAYCCCTACCACAAGACGCCCCCGACACCGAACGAGTCGTTTCATTGTTCTCCTTACTTGGTATCTTCCTGGCCAAATGTATCCAGGACAACCGATTAGTCGATATCCCGCTATCTTTACYGTTCTTACGTCTGTTGTGCTCCGGTGGCAGTGTTAGTCAAGACCAGCTGGGTCTAACATCGTTAGGGACTTGTCCCAATACAATCAACTTGGGTGAATCTATCTGCTCTCAGGGGTGGGGTGGGGGATCGTCTGACATCACTAATGAATTGGACCAACCAAGCCTTGAGGAAAATCAAAATGCTATAAACAAACTAGACTCGCATTTCTCGAAAGAAGATGAGCTGATAAAGGACGAGGAGCTGTTGAAAGAAGAAGAATCTGAACTCAAGAAAACGAAAGAGAGTGTCGAAGATGTGTCTGTTCTTGCTCAAGAACCTTGTTGGTTCGCTGGACTGATTGATAATGAGTTATCAACCATCGATCCACTCAGGGTCAAGTTCATCAATAGCCTTAAGGAGGTTGTGAATAGACGGAAAGAGATCTTGCAGGATGATAGTCTATCGAATAGTGAGAAGAAGGCGAAAGTACAGAATCTGAAGTTGAATACTAATGGAGTGGAGTGTCACCTTGAGGATCTAGGGTAACTTTTGGCAATATAGTATCGAGCTATTATTTATTTATGTTCAAATAAAACTATTATCAACATCCATCATTATCATCATTCATTATCAACAACCATTATCATCATTCATTATCAACAATCATTAGTCAATATTTGTCATCATCAATCATCATCAGTCATTATCATTAATCATTATCAATAATCATTATTATCAATCATTATCATCAACCATTATCATCAATCATTATCAACAATCAATATCATCATTCATTACCAATAATCATCATCAATCATCATCAATCATTATCATCAATCATCATCAATCATTATCAACTATCATTATCAACAATCATTATCAACAATATTTGTCATTATCAATCATTGTCATAATTAACCATTGTCATCATCAATCATCATCGTCAATCATTATTATCATCAATCATCATCATGATGTTGAGATCAACTTAACACCCAGAATGAAAATGTTTCAATGAGTAATAACTAAACAATAACTGCATGTTTCAATTTTTTTCTGCCCCAAAAAATCTTTATAGACTTTTTGCTTCACTCATATTCTCTTATAATTTATTTCAACAGCTYAACATTCCAGTTTCTACCTTCATCAAAAGTTTATGGCTTCGATGCGTTGAATCTCATTCCACATGGTGAAGAAGTGGTAAGTAGATAACKAACCCTATTTCTCGGATAGAGCAGATTTGGAATGACTAATTGGAGGAAAAAATGTAAGGTAGCCAAATGTAAACTGAGTAATTTTACCACAGTTCGACCACAAATTCACTTTAAATTTCGTTATTCAACCATTGCRTCTACACGGACTTACTAYTTGAATTTACTTAAGGGTGTTATATCAAACTCGTTCTTATTTACATTCAATTGCGTGACTCGCGTGAGTCTAAATGGTAACGAAATATCCTTATCAACACCGGACTTGCCGTACTATGACTGTGTACGGTTCAGTGTGCGAACAATTTCGCTTGCGCGCTTTGATTCAATTGGCCGTACCGTGCCGTGCCGTTTGACAAGCAYGCGGACTGTGCTCTAATGCATATCATGCGGCATGTATATGCAGGATTGCGATTTTGGTCAAGAATAAAGATCAGGGTTTTTCATTAAGTTAGGAATATCATTGCAGCTCGTCAAATCATTCACGGCAGATTTCGTATGACTGTAGTACCGTTACCCTGACGGTAGTAAGTCCAAGCGTTCTGATTGGCTCTGCAGTATTTTTATTCACATTGGTCGACTCATCAAATGTGAGTGCATCTATTCTTTTGTTTCATTGGTGCTAGTGTGACCCGTGAGTCACACAAAAAGTACTCTAGTTTCCATGTTACCCCTTCTTTTATTTAATCATAAATCATTAATCAACTGTGTTCTTTGATCATCAGCTTCTGACTCTAGACAATGCCGAGGCATACATCGAGCTCATGACAGACATGTGTCTGTACTCCGGGATAAGAAAACAAATGGATGCCTTCAAAGCCGGTTTTAACCTGGTCTTTTCCATGGAGAAGCTTCGAATCTTCTCACCAGAGGAGCTACAGCTGATGATGAGCGGAGAACACGTGCCCGAATGGACTAGAGAAGATATATTGAATTATACTGAACCCAAGTATGGATTTACTAGGGAGAGCCCGGGATATTTACGGTTTGTTAATGTTTTGGAGAATATGAACGGCGATGAGAGAAAGGTAAGTTGGTATTTGTGGTAAATTTCGCATGTCCTTAATTCATTGTTACGCAACGCGGTTCCCTCACCTTGAAATGGTTTTCCATTTTAATGCTACGGCGTTTCCTTACCTCGAAATGGCTTTCCATTGTAATGCAACGGGGCTCCCTAACTTCCAAATGGCTTCCCATTGAAATGCAACAGCATTTTTAAACTTTGAATTGCCTTTCCATTCTAATGGAACGGCGTTCTTTCACTTTGAAATGGCTTCCCATTTTAACAACAACAGTTTTATAACCTCGAAGTA